GTTCGTTCATATGTTTTCACCTTTTGTGTCTAAACGGCATTACTATACCACACACATTATTCTGCAATTCATTCTTTTTTTCGGTCAGCTTTATGTTTTTGAGATTTAGTCATTGTGCTCGCTGTTTACCTATTGTTTCTCAGCCTTGTCCCCCGTCCTGTCCCCCCACCCCCCTTGGATAGTCTGTATCCCTCAAGCTCCTTTGCCACCAATTGGTTTCACTTGGGATTTTGCCAGTTGGAAGTGTTGAGCTGAGAAGTCTTAGTTTTTCTTCCACGTTTGCTCTTTCTCTTCATATGGTGCTTCTTCCCGACACAGCAACTTCTTCTCTACACCCCCAGCTGCAGTCCTGGCCCCTCTTTGAGTCCCCTAGCTTCACTAACACCCCCTCCTCATCTTTTTAACCCCATGCTAGGAGTGTAGCACCTTCCCGCATTTTCTAGTCTCTAAGCGATCATCCCTTCTTTTTTCTCTTTGAACTTTGCAACATCTGGAGAAACGATTCCTCTATTAAATCTCTTGTGTTTGTAATGACACCATATTTTCTATTTTCTAACCAGACCCTGACTGTTGTAGATGTGTCGTAGCTCTGGATCACTCATTTTAATGGCTGCATAGTATTCCATTATATGACTATATCGCAATTTATTCATCCGTTCTCTTATCGATGGGCATTTCAACTTTTCCATATTCTAGACAATATTGCAAAGACCATTCTCATACCTGTTTCCTTATTTACCTGTGCGAAAGTTTCTCTAGGTACTGGAAGAGGAATTGCTGGGTTACAGGGCTGTGGTCATCTTCCATTTGTCTAGTTCCCCACACATTTTTCAAAGTAGTTGTACCATGTCACTCCCTTCTATCACTTGGTATTGTTACACTTTTCATCTGTGGCAATTTGATGGATGTAGCATGGTATCTCATTTCCAGTGAGGGAAGTGTCTTCACATACCTTCTTCTGTGAACTGCCTACTCATATCTTTTTGCACATTTTTTTCCTGTTAGGCAGTTTGTAATTTTCACATTGATTTGTATTATTGTATTATAGCTTTATATATTCTGAATAATTTGCTGGTTATACGTGTTGCAGATAGATTTGTCCAAGCTATGGTTTGTTCTTTTGTTTTATAATGTCTTTTGTTGTGTAGAAGTAGTTTTTTAAAAAAAATTTCTTTTTAAATTATAGTCAAATCCATCAGTCTTTCGTGGTTAGTGGTTTGTTTTCTCCTGTTTAGGGTAATCGTCTTTATCTCTAGGTCATAAAAATATTTTATATTTCCTACTAAAATATTTAAAGCTTTACTTTTCTATTTAATTTTCAGTTCACCTGAAATTTTTTTGTATGGTGTGATGTAAGAATCACATTTTTTACCAGTTAAGCAATTTTTCCTGCATCATTTATTATCATTCATAGTTTATCACTTCCCCACTGATTTGGAATGCTGGTTCTTTCCTTATATTCCCGGATGCACACAGTCTGTTTCCAGACTCTATTCTGTTCCATTTCTGTATTTGTATATTCTTGTGCCCATGCAACAGTGTTCTAATTAGTATGATGTTTCAGAGACTCTTGCTAACTCATGGGTAAGTCCCCACACCTCATTCTTCGTAATAGCCATGGATATTCTAGGCTTTATTCTAGCAAATGAATTTTTTCAAATGGGCATGGAATAGATCTATCATTTGAATATTACCATTGCCTTGTCACATTCCATGAAAAAATCCTGTTGACATATTAATTGAAATTACATTAAGTTTATGGATTAACTTGAAAAGTATTTACATTTTTATATTTTCCTTCCTGTCCAAAAATAAACAACACCTCTCCATCTATTTAGGTCTTTTTTTAATGTGTGTTTCATCAATACAGTTATATAATTTTTTTTCATATGAGTCTTGCTCATCTTTGGTCAACTTATCCTTCAATATTTAATAGTTTTATCGCTATTTTTAATGGGACCTTTTAAAATCATGTTTTCCTATTGGCTATTTCCTATTGGAAAAGGAACACTTTGGATTTTTGTATATTGACCTCATATCCAGAAACCTCATTAGTTGTGGTCGTGTGTCTGTGTACATAACACTAACAGATCTTTACATGTTGTTTTTTCCTTGTATTCCAGGGATAACCTTACCGGGCCATGGCTAAATTCAATTTTGCTAGAACTTTACGACTTTTAAGAGGTGCCTTTGTACAAAATCTGTAATCTTAGAAACCGAATGGCCCTGCAGAGTAACTTCATCTATCAGAGGGGCAAAAGGCTTATGTACAGCAGGCTATTTTGGCCTTGAAACCTAGAATCGTCTGCCCATACTGACCCCTCTCTGTGTGCTTTTGTGCTGATTACTGCCACATTCCCTTCACTATTTTTGATTCTTTTCAGTTTGAGCTCCATTGAGAGCTCAGACAATGTTAACTACAATCCAGGTTTTTGTAACTCTCCATGGTGCTTATCATAGTACTTAGACAAAGAGCTTCAAGCTAGGAAAAAGTTGGTGTCTATTGATGAATTGATGAGCTACAATTAACCCATTGTAGTTTCATCCTTGTTATGGCCTAAGCTAAGAAGTGAGTTTTGTGCTTGACTCTGTTTTTTAATATTATTTTTCTTTCTATGCATGTCCTTTATTCATAAGGCTTCCCCCTATACAGCCTTTCATTACATTATTATTATTATTATTTTACTCCTATTTTAATGCTATAGTTTTATTATTTGTATGCTGCAGTGTAAGCTATGTCAAATCTGGGTAGGTGGAGTTTAAATTCTAAATAGAAACGTTCAATAAATGTTGACTGGATAGAGCATGAAGACTTTAGTGAGGGGATGGATATTTTCCAAAATCATTAGCATAGAGAATTGATTTTAATGTTTTAGTGGCTATGCGTATAAGTAAGGCTTTCTACACCCAATACTGCATTGAATGGGGGGGGGGGTGCGGAGATCTGATTTTATTTTCAGTTTCAGCTAGTAAATAAAAAAGCATTTCATTACCTTACAAAATCATGGTGCTTGGCGTGATAATTTCACGTATTATCGTTGAATATATTTTGTTACGTACCAAATTGGACCACTCATTAACAGTTGTGGGCTATTTCTTTTGAGCTGAATCTAAACCTGATTTTTGAACATCGCTACTGGAGCTCTTGTGTTCTCCTGGATTCTGAATCCTAATAACCCTCCTTCAAGGGCATCTCCCAGAGGGGAGCTCGGTTCATTAACTCAGGGGCGATACAAAGCATTTCGTTCCTTTACTCACGGCCCTTACTCGGTCTCCCAAGGAGACAAGTTGAATGCCCACTAAGTCATGCTTTTCCATTACTCATTCCGCCTTTTTTCCCAAGGTGGCGTGTGGGAGGTGTTGTGATCGGGCTCGATAAGAATAGGCCAGGAAGCTTTCTGCGGGAGTATACACTCATCCCTCTGCGTGTCTCGGTTGCGACTCCGCGGGGTTCGGCGGCTTCAACGTAAGAGATGTTTCCAAAACTGACAATGATTCCACACTCGACCGCCCCCCACATTCATCTCAGCTCCTCCGCAGGCGACTAGCGGGGTCATGCCCCGCCCCATTTCACCAAGCTTTGTCCCCTTAGAAGGCGGATCATCGGTCGCCAGACGCGGTTGCTGCCGACTAACGTCCTTCGGGAGTCACCGGGAGGGGACTCGGGTAGCCGGCTTCGCCCACCCAGCATCCCCGTACACGCACGGGCTCCTGGGCCACCAGAGGGCGCCCCGGCGTCCCCGCAGCTGCTCACTGCATCCCCGCCCCCTCCAGCTCTCCCGGCGATTGGTCGGCCGCCTCGAGCTCTGAGCCCCGATT